TGATCATCGGTGAACTGGTTGATGAGCTCCTCAAAGTCATCCACGGCAGAGGAGGAGGCATCGGCACGCGCTGCTGCACTGGACCGCCTTGGCCTGGACTGACTGTGGGGTTTCAGGACTGGGCTGAAACAGACAAACATCAGCTCTTTAGTAAGAAAATAAAACACTTCAACATCATCCGTCATGCGTGTCGGCACTGACAGGCAGCCACAGCTCCTGGAAGACACGTGCACAATCCAAGTCCACTGTTTATATCTTTAAAATGTTGATGATTATAACTGACAACTGAATGAAAACCCCAAATTCAGTTTGTCAGAAATTTACCGTAATTGTCGGACTACAAAGCGCACCTGTGAATTAGCAGCACATACGAAATATACCAAAAATCATAACTTTGTACACAAATAAAACACACCTGCTGTAAAGCCACAGGTCTCCACTGTACAGTGAAGACCCAGCTCAGTGTGTTCTTGTTGTAGTACAAGAATCAGCCACTAGATGGTGCTCACAGACTATAGCTTGGTCCAACATGCACTAAGCCTGAATGGTGATCCTTTGTATACACAAAGCTTCAGTATTAGACTCATGTTGACAACCATTATTCCTTCAAAATTAACAAAATACCAGTAAATATCTACTGGTAAGCACAATCACTGGACATTAAAGTGCAAACACATAAGTCACAGAAATTATTTAAAAATTATATACTGGGAAATATTACCCAGAATTCTAAACTGATTTCGGTCAGCCACGCTCAGTCTGTCCCTCCTCAGAGACGGGCAGATTGGGCGCAGCCAGCCGGGGTCGAGTTGGCTGTTTCGGGTTGAGCAAAGAGCAGCGCCCCGCTGAAGCCATGGAGCTCGAATGTCCAACGTAAAACTAACTTTACCGCGGTTTAATGTGGCGCTATGGATCTGCAGACAGTGCACGATGCTGTCTTGTCTTGTGGTGTTTAGTGTAAAATACTTCCACACAGCGGACATGCTTAAATGAAAAGTTTGTTAGCTGTTAGCCACAGTGCTGCTAACTCAGTCCTCACGTTGTAGCTGGCTGCAAACTATGAACTGGATTTCCTGAATGTGAGGCGGGTCTTATTACTCTGGGTTCATGAGACACGCCTCCATTCAGGAAATCCATTCCGTAGGAATGCAGGTTGGATCAGAAAAATCTGTTACGTAAATTATGCTGGTATCGGAGCCCAATACGATACTGGATCGGATCGGCTCCATCCCTAATTAAAACCAAAAAGTTCTATTTTGGTCTCATGTGACCACAGAACTTTCTCCCGTGACTCCTCTGGATTATCCAAATGGTCATGGGCAAACTTCAGATGGGCCTGGACGTGTGCTGATTTAAACAGGGGAACCTTCCGTGCCGTGCATGATTTTAAACTATGACGTCTTAGTGTATCACCCACAGTAACCTTGGAAACAGTGGTGCCAGCTCTCTTCAGGTCATTGACCAGCTCCTCTCGTGTAGTTCTGGGCTGATTCCTCACCTAGGGCTGAGTACCGAACCCAGGTTCTTTTATGGCACCGACCGAACTGGTTTGGTCGGTGTATGGATTGAAACATTACTCTTTTTTTTTTGGTGTCAAGTTTCGGTATTGGCTGTAACATGACACGTGGTTTCAGCACGCAGGCAGGTAAAACACAGACATATAGCAAACAGACTACGTGTTTACACCCAGAGCTGTATAGAGCTGCTGAATAGCTGTATGTCTATGGTGCTGGTGA